CTGGGAGTTTTTAAAAGCCTCAGGAATCTTTTGCAGGTGTTTAGAGTTAATTTGTTGATTCAGATGATTAGGTTAATAAGTTGTTTGGAGAACCTTTTCATAATTTTTTGAGATAGGGATGTTAGATTTTTCTTTACTTTTTTTGCCAAAATCATCAATATTAAAACAATAAAAGGCTTGGACTACTTCAGTTGGTGTGCAATGAATCTAAAATATATGAAGGTTTAATGTTTATCAGTACATTACAGAAAATAATGAACTTTATCACAATATGCTAATTTTTTGAGAAGGACCTGTATTTGTAATCAGGAGTGGAAAAATACAAGTTTAAATTCAGAAAATCTAGGGAAAGATCTCATAAATTTGGAGATTTGTGATCAACCCCAACCTTAGAATCCAAGATGTCTGCCTAGAGCATGAAAAGTGGTGATAAACCTGATTTTTGCTTCTGTTGCTTGGTTTTAGGGCTGACCATTATGGCTGAAAAATGTATCAGGATATAAGCTTTTCTTATCAGTCAATATCAATAATTATTTATTAGTTTTTGTTTGAACTATTTGAAATAAGGACAGGAGAAATTAATAATGCACACTGGTGATGTGACCTGTCCTCTTATCCACAATTTCCTCTCGAGCTGTTCGATCATTTTCTCCTTCAACTCCATGTCATTTTTTATCTTGAAGCAGTTCTGAGGTTCAGTGGTGAAACACAAAACTGCTACATGTTACTCAACAGGTTGTTGCAGCTGATCAAAGAGTGAGGAAATTAGTTGATGGACCAACCTTGGTTAGCTGGGCCTTCTACATCCCCCAGAATGCTGTGTGGTTCTGGATCAGTGTTCAATGAAATTATTGTATCGGACGTATTTACTTTTGATCACATGCCTGCTGCGACATAGTATATTATTGTTTTATTGCCCAGCCCTACTTGGTGTATCATTAAATATGTTTCACATAATCTACTGAACCATCTCTGCTGAGACAAACATTGTTACAGCGTTTGAACAGAAGAGAGAAAGCCACTGATGAGCAAATCCTACTGGTTTTCTCACAAACTAGTTCAGACTTTTAAAGCAAATGAAAGACAGAAATAACTAGACATGGGTTTTTACGATGTAAAAACAAGTGTACATTGCCATGTTGCATGTCATTGCAGCATGGCTTTGCCTGCAGCATTGGACTTGTAGAATGAACTTTGACCAAGTTCAAATATGTTTTCTATACCAGCTTGAGCCAGTCACGTCAGCAGGTGTTTGTAATTAAGGTAATTGAGTGACAATATGAAGTTGGAAGAGATTTGTTGTTAAAGTTGCATTAGCTGGGTTTTGAACCCTGATCTCCCACATGAAAGTCCATGACATAGACCATTAGACCAATGGAGCTTTGGCAGAAGGTGGTGGCAGGGGTTGGTTTGTATGTGTGCAGAAAGAGGCCACATTGCCAATGCAATTGTTGACACAGAAATGCATAATATTACAACAATAGAGTAATATTAGGACAATGTTTTAGTAAAACATCAAACACAATCATATTAGTATTGTAATTACTGAACTACTGAGTTTAAATATTATTAAAACTATGGTTCAGTACTGAGTATATACAGCAAGGGGCAGTATTGGACCAATACAAGGCNGTTCAGTACTGAGTATATACAGCAAGGGGCAGTATTGGACCAATACAAGGCTCCATTGACTGGCATTATTTGATTTTAAACATTAATATTTCAAAAAGTATAAGTTGTACAGGCACCAAAAGGCATAGCCATCATTTGGCACAGGAGCTTTACAGATATAAATTACAATGGCAGCTGTAGGACAAAGTATGCAGGAGGAGAAGCATGCCAAAGTGGAGATGACTTGGATGGGAAACGAATCACAATAGTGATTCGAATCACTGATTAGAAACCTGCAAAAATAGAGAAGGGAAGACTGTTTCATGGCAGAAATCCTCACAGACTGACTTTAAACAACATGAAGCAAAAAGAAAATAGGAAAAGCAACACACTTATATTCCTTGTTGTGTTCTTGTAAAGCCATGATTGGAACAAAATAAAAACTAAAACATGTTTCTAGTGCTTATTACTTTGTTAATTGTTTACTTGTTCAGTTTTTAGTGGTGCAGGTGTGTCTTCAGGTACACCTGTTCAGGTGAACACTGACCTGTCGATGCTGATGGCACAGAGGTTGAAGATGGAAGCGGTGCACAGCATCACATCCATGGTCATCAGACCGTCACAAGTGGTGGTGCTGAGGGTCCACACCCCATCCTGAAACTGCAACATACACAAATTGAGTTAAAAACCATGGGAACTACTAAGTCTCCTATCAGCCAGAGACCAAAGACGCAAACGAGTTCTATCTGAACACAAGAGGACCCACAGGGGCTGGGACAATAATTCATACAGGAAGAAAAGTCTTACATTTTCAAAGAAACCTGGTTTCTAAAATGGAAAATGGGCCACTAGGTTTACCATAAGGGTTAGATCAGTGGTTCTCAAACTTTTTATCTTCTGACCCATGAAATATTCATGGCATAAACTTGTGACCCCAAATATTACTGGTCTGAGTACACGGACTTTGTTAATAACCCTAAAAACATAGTTTTTTTGACAATCTAAACAGCTTGTACACAAATATAAATACTTTTTTATACTTATTTTGTGTTTTTGTAATAATCATAGAGAAAATATTACATCAGCGATTATTTTATTACCCTTTAAATTGATTTCTGGAGATTATCCAAGGTGCTTCATGACCCATAATTGGGTCCCAAGCCCAACTTTGGGAACCAAAGTGCAGTGG